CAGGAGATTGGTGATGAATAACAAAACATTTATATACAACCTCCTGCACGGCTAGCATGGGCTGGGGACAAAAATTTTATCCCCCGATTACATCCACTGAAAAGACATAAAATTATCTTGTCCTTATGCCAAAGCTCGGCAACGGGGAGAAGTATATCCCCGTTTGACATAACGAGTGGACATATATATCCCCCGTCCGTAGCATGAAGCCAAATGAAAGATAAAAAATTATGCTTTTTTCACATTTAAAAGGGACAATTCTATCCTAGTTCGTTGGATGTAGGTTCAACTTTATATTCATACTAAAAATCTATCTGAGTCTATCTCCCATTTTATCTACTGTGGATATTATATCCACCGGTATGCCCATGCTCGAAGGGTGGATAAAACTAAGCGTGGGGATAAACACTTTCTCTTTTCCTGCTGAAGTAGCAGAGTATACTGACGAGGATTCTGCTGATGAAGATTCTGGTGGATTGATAAAAAATTAGACAGGTAGACAACTTCTAGCCGGTGCAGAAATAGTTTCACAAACTATAAATGAAGACGAAGCCGACGAATGTGGAAGTGATTCAAGGCCATCGACAAGTAAGAGACGTAAGACAACTTACAAATGGAAGAAGTCTGATCTTCCTGATCTTCCTTCACCAGCATTTTCTGCCTCAATGTCACATGATTATAAAGACATATCATGTACCGATATATTTGAACTATTTTTGATGCAAACTTGTGGGAATTTTTTGTAGAACAGAGTACTAGATATGCACTATATTTGAACTGTCTGAATACGAGGGTCTGTATTTCTACTGAAGAGGTTAAATGTTTTATTGCCATTTTAATTTTGTCAGGATATAACTAATTACCCAGTAAAAGGTCCTACTGGGATAGTGGTGATGACATGCGAAATTCATTACTTTATAACGCTATGTGGCGCGATAGGTTTATTCAGATTATGCGTTTCATTCATGCAGCTGACAATAGCAAACTTGATAAAAACGATACAATTACGAAATTGCGACCTTTGATGAATAAACTAAAACAAAAATTTCTCGACCAAATTCCCATTGAACAAAATCTTAACTATGATGAAAGAATGATTAAATACTTCGGAAATCATGGATTCAAGCAATATATTCGTAACAAACCTTACCACTGGCCAAATGCCTCGAGTATTTGCTCAACACCACAATGCATGTCAGCTTCAACAAATGTAGAGACTATCACCAACAATACCAATGATGACAGTATTGCCTTCCATACCAATCCAACATCCTCCTCCTCCTCCTCAAACAACGGCTCCAGCACCTTACACTTCATATCAAATATCTATACTACCACCACTGCCGCATAGAACTTACTATAACTAGCCGCATACAGCATCAAGTTGCACACAGAATATCTTATCCCACAATTAATCGGGCAAGAGCACCAGTCACACAACCAACCCTACCCAGGATATCAACATCAGCAGCCATCGCTTTTCATCATGGCTGTCAAAATTGTAATCAGTATTGTATATTATTCTAATAAATAGATATATGCTATTTCATTCTCTGTCTCGCTCGCTTCGTTCCCGGTCATTTAATAAACTAGACGGGTTTTGTGGTGCTCCATTTGTATTATAAATTGTGAAGTTATTACAATAAACTAAGTGTCCAGAACCAGTGTATTTTCAATCAGACTATTCCCAGTGTATTAAAGCAAGTAGTTTCAATATTAAACATAATTGTGGTCCTTCGACGCCTTGAAAAACTGTGCTCGGAGCGTGAACAAAATCGCCATTTTGTTTTGTGCTTCAAGGGGATCAACACGCGATATCGACCGTGCTACGGACAATCAATTCATTCGTTCATCTTTCTTGTGCTGCACTCTGGCCGGGGCGGGAAGAAGCATCTACAAGTCGAACCTACACATCGACGTTTACATTTTGTGTTACCAACTACGAGACGTACTACATTATCGTCACCAACACCGCTTCGGGGCGTACACTCCAACTACAGTGACTGCTACCTACAACAACCACGCGGCGCATACGTCATCCTACCTACCATACTTTTCTGCCATCTTACTGGCATATTTCTCGGCGCACACGCCAATTTGCAACATTGACTACTTCGCGGCGCATACGCCATCTATCGACAACAGTGTGCAACTGTTCCATTCATTCCATACTGTTTTATCGACATTGACGCTTACGTCATTCATACGTCATAAGATATTCGTTCAAAACGACTCACTCATCTTACTTGTGTAACATGGCGGAACACCTCATCTTTTCTACCCTCAAAATATAATAAAATCCTATTTAATCTCGGTGTACACACCAAAATTGCTAAGCTGCACACATCAAATCTCGTAAACATAGTTGGATTAGTGAAATCCACGAATATTTCATCGTTACTTCGAAGCTCCGCCTGCGGACTTTTGCCACGATGCTTTCGCCGTAAGAGGAACAGGCAGCGTCTTTGGATGCTCTGAAGACGCAAAGAAGCACAGTGAAGGGAAAACTAACACGCCTATTCAACTTCGTGCAAAACTACAATCCCCAAGTAAACAACGCCCATGAGCTAAAGGCGCGGCAAGCGGAGATGGAAAAAATTGTCTGCAAATTTGAGGACTTATAATTAGAAAAGGCGATCAAATTGTTAGACGCTGATCCAGAACGAGCTGAAGCTCATGAGCAAGAACGTACTGTTTTCGAAGAAAAATACTTTTCTACCAAAGCGCAAATTGATGCTTTACTAGCGCCTGCGACTACATTGCGATCGTCATTCGGGCACGATCCGTTGTGCACGACAATGTGTAACGATACCTGCACTTCCAGGAAACCTCGCGTAAAATTACCACAATTAGAACTCCCTAGATACGATGGGGACATTCGACAATGGCCTGCGTTTAAAAACATTTTTATGGCTTCTGTAGACGGCACTGATCTACCCGTTGTCAACAAACTACAGTATCTAAAGTCGGCCCTAATTGGAGAAGCAGCGGATTTCATTTCTTCATCACTCATCACTGAGGAAAATTATGTGAAAGCTCTGGAAATCCTTACTAAGAGGTATGAGAACTTAACCATCATTGTAAACTTTTATTTGAAAGCTGTAACTAATTTTGTCATTATTACTAGGTACAATTTGAAAGACTTCTTAGTCACTTTGAAACAAAGTCTAGATTCACTAAAGGCTATCAACCTACCAGTTGACAGCTAGGACGTTCTATTAGTGTTCATTATATTGGACAACTCCTTAAGAGCTGCATGGGAGCTAAACAGAAAGGAAAATACTATTGCCACTATGTGTGAGTTGCTCGAATTCTTCAATGCAAGTAGAACTGCCTTTGAAATGCTTAATGCGGATAAACCAAGTGATAAACTAAATGTAAAATCTTCCCATGTCACTTCTACTGAAACAGTTGCATCTTGTATATAATGTCAAGGCAAACACTCTTTGCATAAGTGTCCAAGCTATCTTGAGCTATCTGTTAATGACCGCATGAACTGAATTAAAGCTAAATATTTATGTTACAATTGCTTACAGCATTATGAAGCCAGCCACAAGAGCTCTAAATATAAGTGCCTAACATGCAATGGCAGACATCACACAAGTATACATATGGATAAAATTAAACAACAGGTTAGCTTTGCTTCTATCAATTCATTACCTACACCACCCACCACACAAAATGACATTGCTGACCCACAACTACAAATTACGCTTCGGCTATGGGTACACCCATTGAAAATACCACTCTAACGCAACCACATGCACCTACCCCTCTATTGCAACCACATGCACCACTTGCTCAAATGCAACCACATGCAACTACAGCTTTAATGCAACTACATGCACCTGATATTACTTTGCAACATGCATCTCAAACCTCACCTTCTACTGTACTAGTGTCTAACGCTAACAAGCAACAAATATTATTATCCACAGCTATCGTCAGAATACAATCTGCATCAGGAAAGTGGGTGAACGCTCGAGCTCTTCTGGATGCGGGCAGCGAGGTCAACATTGTTGCCCACAAACAGACTTCCTTACTACAGCTAGAACCCAAGCAAGATCATAATTATATATCTGGTATTGGTAATACTCTAAAACATTCTCAAGTAAGTGTTCATACTAACATTTCATCTCGGTACAACAACTACTCAGCCGATCTCACATTCATTGTCATGGACAAAATTGCTGCTCCCTTACCACATAACTACATACCTACACAACAAGCAAACTCACTAGCTGACCCTACATTTTTCATACCTAGCTCAATTGATTTATTAATCGGGGCTGAACTTTTCTATTCCATTTTACAGACAGGTCGTTTGAAACTTGGCTCAAGTTTACCCTTCTTAATTGAAACTACCTTTGGATGGGTTGTATCAGGCTCTTTCGTCCGTGACACTCATGAACACACATCTAACAAGAACACATGTTAGCATGCACCTGTCTCATACTTCCTCTGATGACATACTACAGTCTTTTTGGAACCAAGAGGAAATACTACCTACGCATAAGTTGCTATCCCCCGATGACAAATATTGTGAAGACTTGTTTACTTCTACTACTACTCAAGATGACACCGGTAAATATGTTGTAAACTTACCTATACAGACAGACAAACTTGACGGTTTAGGAAATTCATTTAATACTGCTTATCATTGCCTACTAAAATTAGAATCAAGATTGACAAAGGATACTGAACTTTACTCTCAATATAGGTCTTTCATCAAGGAGTTCATTGACCTCGGTCATGCTCACTATGTAAATAACTTCTCTCCCACTAACCCACATACTTACTACATGCCTCATTTACCTGTGATAAGATCTGATAGTGCACCAACTAAATTGCGTACTGTCTTCAATGCAAGTGCTAAAACTTCCATTGGTTTATCTCTGAACGACATACTCTATGAAGGTCCTAATATTTATAATAATGTTTTTGATATCATACTCAGATTCAGACTTTACAAATATTAATTTTCTTGTGACATTATTAAAATGTTTAGAAATATTTGGATCAACCCACAACATACCTCCCTCCAAAGAGTCCTATGGAGACACTCTAAGTCTGACGCACTACAGTGTTTAGAGTTGGATACTGTCACTTATGGCACTAAAAGTGCACCCTACCTTGCTTGTCGCACAATGCTAGACTTAGCTGACAAACATATGGTCACTCACCCTCGAGCAGCTGACTGTATAAAGTCCAGTTCCTACATGGATGACTATCTATGTGGAGCACAATCCTTACAGGAATGTATTCAATTATGTTCTGAACTGACTGACTTGCTAAGTAGAGCAGGTTTCCAACTACATAAGTGGTCAGCCAATCACCCCCACATTTACTCACACATATTGAGTTTAGATTCAACTACACAAAATCCTACACTAGAAACTGAAAATAATTCAAACAGTTTTACACTAATTGGATCAGTAAAAACCCTAGGTTTGCAGTGGCTATCTACACAGGATACGTTGACTATTTCTATTCCTAATTTTGAAGAAAATGTCCCTTGTACCAAAAGAGGTGTTTTATCTAAAATTGCCCAAATATTTGACCCTTTAGGTATTCTAGCGCCCTCTACTATCTTGGCTAAGATACTCACGCAAGATATTTGGAAGCAAAACACTGATTGGGATTCTCTAATTTCCTCTGATTTACAAGAAACTTGGAACAAGTTTATTTCTCATTTTCATAATTTGAAATCGATAAATATACCTAGGTACTATTTCTCTGACATACCTACACATATTATTTTACTACGTTCCAGTGATGCCTCTCACAAAGCCTATGGTGCTTGCTTATACCTAAAAGCGACATATCCTAATAGTAAACCCACTTGTACACTTGTGACTGCTAAATCTAAAGTTTGTCCTATTAAAAAACAACAATCTATTCCCAGACTAGAACTCTGTGGAGCTCTTTTCCTATCTAAACTAGTAAATAGATTCCAGGATGCCACGAAAAATAAAATAAATATTAATAATGTCTATTTATTTACTGACTCATCTATTGTACTGAGTTGGATCAAATTACCCTACAAAAATAAACATAGTACATATGTCACACACCGTCTCATGCTAATCATCGACACTACTTGTGGTTCTGGTCGATGGAGGTATGCGGGTGGTGATGTCAGCTGGGACTGTATGGGGGACCTTGGGATGGTGTAAGCCCGACGATAGTCGTATTGATGCTTGTTGCATTCTGTAGCATTGCGTCTCTACGATGGTTGTTTGGCGGGTCGCTATTCTCAATGGCGCTCTCTGCGTCTTGGTTTGACTCACAACCTAAGTAGCTTTGCCCAAGTCGGGTCCCTTCATAGCGGGGCTGCAGACTGTCTGCCCTCCATGATGTTTTATATAACAACTTAATAATATATCTCTATAAAGTTCCCACCTTTGAGAGATTGAAGGCAACTTGTTGGTGGGTGAGACAAACATGATCGAAAAATGCATATACTCAACGTCAGTGACACAAACCCTTTCTGATGACGAATTATTAATATTATCTTATAACTGCCTATTGGCTATATCTGCCATTGTATTGGTTGGTGGAGCATATGTGTCGACCTCATGCGGGTGGTAGCTGGAGGGAGAATCTGAGGAGGCTCTCAAGGCTGCGGCCGAAAGCCGCGCAACGTGGGACCCCATTCCCTTGAGGTGAGCGGTAGACTCATGACACGCTCTGCGGCCAATTGGCCGTGCTGACCATGCAATTGGTGGTGATGCCTTACACTTACATCACGTCTGCAGAAACGGCGGTCTGGCAGGTGGTGGTGCTCACGGAGGGCTTTTTATGGTCAGTGTGCCGATTGTTGCCTAACCCGTGTGACGTACATTTCACTGTGGCTGGATTTGAACGTATTCTGTATGGCGTTTACACGCATTGACATGCGCGACTTCGGTCGATGTTTGTGCTTAAGCACTATCAAGGGGCCAAGTCCTCTTTTACTGGTTCGCCAGTTATTTTGCTGTGGACTACGGTCCAGTTCCCAACTTTGGGTACCCTTCGGGGGGAGCGCATTAAAATGGTTGGCGCCCACCGTACGCGGCGTGTGTGGGGCCGTGTACCTCCTCCACATTTTTTTTAAAATGTGGGAGAGCGAAGCCCTTGTAACTGGTATTTGATATAAATATTGTGAGCCTTTTCCAAGCGGGAAGATATTAATTAATAAGGAATTGACTGTTGTGAACCAGATACAAGTGGAATAGGGACAATTTATTGTTCTTAACCTTTTTTTCTTTTTTTTTTTTTTATAGGAGAGGGGGCAAACGAGCATGCGGCTCACCTGATGGTAAGTGACTACCGCCGCCCATGAACAACCGCAACACCAGGGGAATTGCAGATGCGTTGCCGGCCTTTTAAAAAGGAGTAGGCTCTTTTCTTGAAGGTCCCTAAGTCGTATGGGTCCGGAAAAATCGCTGGTGGTAAACTATTCCACAAGGAAGTTGTGCGAGGAAGAAAACATCTTCTAAATCGCACAGTGGTGGACCGCCAATCATCCAGATGGTGTGGATGGTATCGGGAGTTCTGCCGCGATGTGCGTTCGTGAAATTTGGCGGCTGGGATTAATCCGAACAATTCCTCAGAGCACTCCCCATGGTAAATGCGAAAGAAAATGCTAAGAGATGCAACATCTCTTCGCAGTGCCAATGAGTCGAGCCGATTGGAAAGAACTCGGTCGTCGACGATTCGAGCCGCTCTGCGCTGGATGCGGTCAAGTGGAAGAAGCTGGCACTGGGGAGCCCCAGCCCAGAGATGGGAACAGTATTCCATGTGAGGCCGAACCTGCGCCTTTTAAGTTGCAGGCGTTGAGCCGGCATGAAATACTGTCCCGCTCTACTGAGCACGCCAAGCTTTTTAGAGGCCAATTTGGCCTTCTCTTCCAAGTGACCACGAAACTGCACGCTACTCGATATGTCGACGCCGAGGATTCCGATACTGGCTGAGGCAAGAATCCAAGGTACCTTGAAACTGAGGAGATACGACAAAGGGGTTCTTTTTAGCGGTAAACGCGCAAACTTGTGTCTTCTGAGGATTAAACTGGACTAGATTTAGTCGCCCCCAATCCGAGACTTTGTCCAGCAAAGACTCGACTTCAGACACAAGTTTATTCCGGTACTCAGTGACGTTTTCCCGAGAAATATTGGCACGGCCGGTGTATAGAGCATCACCAGTGCTGTCATCCGCATAGCAATGAATGCTACCGGCTTGCAACATATCATTGATATGCAGAAGAAACAGCGTTGGTGATAGCACGCAGCCTTGTGGAACACCAGCGTTAATAGGCTTGTAGTCGGAGCATGCACCGTCTACAACGACCTTGATGCTCCGATCTGCAAGAAAGCTGGTGATCCAATTGCATAATTTCTCGGGAAGCCCATAGGAAGGGAGCTTCGAAAGAAGCGCTTTGTGCCAAACCCGATCGAAGGCCTTCGCAATGTCCAGACAAACGGCCAACGCCTCCCCCTTGGACTCTACTGCCTCCGCCCATCTATGGGTCAAGTAGACCAGAAGATCACCAGCTGATCGACCCCGACGAAAACCGTATTGGCGGTCACTAATCAGCTGGTGATCCTCAAGGTACCGGATGAGCTGGCAGTTAATAATGGATTCCATTATTTTGGAGAACAAGGGGGTGATGGCGATAGGCCTGTAGTTGGACGGGTCTGAGCGGTCGCCTTTTTTAGGGATCGGGTGGACAAAAGCTGTCTTCCATGATTTCGGGACTACGCCTAGGGAGTAGGAGTACCGGAAAAGACGCTTTAGAACCGGTGCCAACTCCGGAGCACACGTCCTCAGCACAATTGGGGGGATTCCGTCAGGCCCACTCGACTTGTGGATGTCAAGGGAGAGGAGTGCTCTGCGAACCGAGCTCTGTGAGAACCGCACATCCGGCATGGAGCACTCACACCGCGGGATGGTCGGCGGTGTGTTCCCCCCGTCATCAACAGTCGAGTTGGACGCAAAAAGGGAGCCTAAAAGGTCGGCCTTCTCTTTTGCGTCGTGGGCCAGTGAGTCGTCCTCCCTGTGCAGAGATGGTAGTGATGGCTTACAGAAATTCCCTTGGACAGCCTTGGCAAGAGACCAGAATGCACGGGTTCCCGAAAGAAGGCGAACTAGTTTCTCGCCAATTCTGCCTATGTGCTCTGACTTTGCCTTGGCAATAACTCTTTTGAAGGACCTGGAGGCGAAGTTATACTTCTTTTTGAGTGTGCTGGTGTTTACATCCCGAGTCACCGAAGCCGCAGCCCAGGCTTGATAACACTCCAGCTTACTGCGTAATGCAGTCTTACAGGAGCGACCAAACCAAGGCTGAGATCTGCCTCCGATGGGTACCACAGATGATGGAATAAATAGTTCCATTCCCTGTAGCACCACATCAGTGACAAAGTCAGCAACAGCGCTGGGATAATCCGGCGAGAAGCAAACCCGCCCCCATGGGTAGGAAGCAAAGAAAGACCGCATTCCGTCCCAATCCGCCGACCTGTAATGCCAAACACGGCGGCAACCTGCAGAACGCAACCGCGAGGGGAGCGTGAGTGGTGGCACCAAACTCCGGATCAGACAATGGTCCGAAGAGCCAAGAGGGGCATCGACGGAAACCTGATATCCGTCCGGATGAGAGGTCAGCAGAAGGTCCAACAGGGAAGGTGTATGATCCTCAACATCTGGAATCCGCGTAGGCGATGTAACCAGTTGTGTCAGACCATATGCCAAGGCAAAGTCATAAACAGATCTCCCCGCATGATCGGTTAAACGTGAACCGAGCCATTCGGCGTGGTGGGCGTTAAAATCGCCAAGGATCACGATCTCTGCGGATGGGACCTGTTGTAGCAAGGAATCTGCAGCCATTTGGACGTGGTCGATGAGTCGGTCTGTTTCGGCATTACCGCTATGGGACCTATAGAGGCACGCGTAGACGCGCGGATGGTCGTCGCTGTCCACGCGTAGCCAAAGGATGGACAGGTCCGAACCTTCAAGACTGCCGAGGCGTCGAGAACAGATGTCCTCTCTGACATACACGCAAACTCCAGCCCGAGGCACAAAGGAGTGCTCCAATTTGTACCCCGGGTAGGAGAGATACGAAGTATCAGCCGGAGAGGACACCTGCGTCTCGGTCAGAAAGAGCAAGGCCGGCTTCGCCGTCTTAAGATGGTAGTGGACGGCGTTTAGGTTCGAGTGAAGTCCCCTGATGTTGCAGAAATTCACGGATAGCGTGGCAGGGGTCGCCTTGGTCTTGTTGCTCAGTTTGCCCCGAGCAGTTTTTGTGTTGAGCGGAATTTTGCCCCCCCCCCCCCCCCCCCCAGAATACGCGGGGCAGCCTGAGCACCCACGCTCAGGAGTGGAATAGCATGGTCGTGGATGCTCAGCGAGGGATTCTCCAGGGGTACTGGTACCCTCCTGGGGTAGTTTATGACGTAATTCCGCTACCATGTTGATGGGGGGGGGGGGGGGAATTGGGCCTCCGGTCACCTGCACTCACCAGACGAAACGCGGAAGCAGAGCTTCCACTTCACGCCGGTATTCTGTGAGGTCGTGGTACTAACCCGGCTCGAGCCGGCCCATACGTGCAACAGCAAAAGCTGCTGCAAGGCTCTACCACCGTTACGTAACCTTTTTGAGCTCTGTCTTCGTGAACGGGGTTCTTTAGCTTATAAGACTCTACCAACAGCTTTCAATTGCTCTCGTGAATATTCATTCTTCCAAGATACACCTAAAAGAACTAAGTTACTATACAAACACAACGTAAAAAAGAGTCCTAACTAAGACGATCACGCCATAAATTTATTAAACGGCCTATATTTAAACCTTTAGAAAGATCAAGTTATACTGGTCACGTAAATTAGATATATTTATATATCTTACAGATATAGATTCTAAAGAAATACAAGTATAAGTGGATATATAGTAGAAAAGAAAAAAGATGGGGGGGGGTTCGTTACAAAGTGTACAAAAATATATTATTAAATAGTTATAAGATAATTATCTTTACCGAAACATGGCTAAATGCAGGTAGCTCAGTGAATTCATTGACTCTAGATAGACTCTAGATATATTGTATACCGTAGGGATCGCTCAAGCGCTTCAAGCTCCAAGAAAGATGGTGGCGGAGTATTAATAGCAGTATCCCGTAAAATACCTTCTATGCGAATGTCTAACTGGGAAA